CATAGGGGCGTGGAAATTGCTATGCCAATGTCAACGACTAAACAAACTGAAACTTTTCGGTCAAGGAAAATAGTTTTCAGTCGTAAAAATATAGAGTTATTAAAATTTCACCTGCAGTGTGTAAAGTGGAGTAAAGTTGTTACAGCAAACAAGAATGTAAACCAAAATTACAATGCATTTCACGAACAACTACTGAAAATCTTGGATTATTGTATTCCAAAAAAATAGTAAGTCTTGAAAAGAAACAAGTAGTCTTGGCTGAGTACCGGTTTAAAAGTAACATGTAGAAATAAACGTCTATTAAAATTATTAACTGTGCACAAAGAAAGTAGTGTCCTTAATAATTACTGTAAAGGTTATGAAAAAGTATTAAAAAAGTATGTAAAGAACGGAAACATCAAAAAATTTTACAAAAACCATGTGGCAAATCATAAAAGAGCGAACAAACAAAATTAATAAAAGAAATGCGCAAAATATACATTCAAAACTTAACGACACAAATGTAGAAAAGCCTGACGAACTTGCTAATATCCTAAATGATTTGTTCCTATCACCCATTGACGCCACCCGTCAATTGTTTCGAATTCGGGCTGGCCAATCGGGGCGCAGTTGTCACAGTATAAATTAAAGCTCATAAAGCAGTATCTTCTCGACAACATATATATGGCAGAACAGTTTTCAAACAAATTAAATGACATTTCGTCTCTACTTCTGGCTATATATTCGATGGTGTTTCATCATTTGTTAAGGCGCTTCCATTGTTGTTTTTCTCCCGCGGTCCTTTTTTTCGTTCATTTCAGTCTTGTTAAGCTAAATGTGAATAATCTTCATTATGTACTTGTTTGTATAAGCTTAAAAAGTTTGACGTTGAAAAGAACTATCGATACGGATTTTACTTAGCACAATGAGATCGAGCTGATCTAGGCTTGACCTATAAAAAGTTCAGCGCGGAGAGAAATCTGGTCAGGATATATCCAACTATATCCAGTTAGTTTTGTCTCCGGAAAGCTTTAAACCGTGTCGCGAGGAAACTTTTTAAAGCCGGCAGCAAGTGTGGAATACAAATCCATATAAACTCTTTCTATGTGACCGCTAAATGGGCTGAGAGAAATAAGCGCACAATTACTGAGCAAAATGCACCGCTGCCACATGCCAGTTCATTTGAATACCTCTTTGCAAGGTTTTCGCTTTAGATTTCGTAGAGTTGTTGTTGTTTGTGTAATTTTCCACTGCTTGACTAAAAGTAGGAACACAATCTTTTAAATGTCATTAAACTATTTTTTATTTAGCTTTAACTAATTTGTAACCGTGTGCCGTCACTAATCCGGCCACAGAACAATAAATACAGTAGGCGTGATAGTTAGCGTAGCGCGCGTGCCAACTGCAGGCGGAGTTCCGTGAGCTCAATCCGCCTTTTCGCTTTGTACGATATGGTTGAGTCAAATCTTTCGCGCAAATTAAAAGTAGAAAAATGCCTTATTGTGCTGTTTTGGAGTGCAAAAATTATAGCTGCACCAAAAACCCGTGGTGGTATTTCATATCATCGGTAAGCCTTATTTTAATAAACTTTCAATTTTCTGTTTATCGAATTGTACTAAATTTTTTGTACCGTAACAAACGAAAGTAAACATTATCCTAGTGCAATATGGTCGAGTTTTATCTATTGGAGAACTAAGTAAACATTGTCGAATTAAAATAAAAGTAAAAAAGTGTCAATTTTAAGCTTAATCGATTGAAATAAAGTTCATTACACAATGTGAGCGTTAAAGAAGACATATGTTGTCGAGAAGATACTACTTTCTATTCGTTCTGATGTTAGACGTTCGTCGTAGTGCAGCTACTGGCCGCAAGAAGGCAGCGCGTTGGATAAAATTACAATATAAAATCAAAACGTCGAAACTTGCAATAAATGTTTTGAACTTTCAACTATATAGCTACAGGGTAAAGTTTAAATTATATTAACAGTCCAGAATTTGTTACAGCTTTTTATATTAGAAACTACGACAAATCACTATCAAGAATTCATAGTGTTTATCATCTGTTTGTGTAGGTTTTGGCGACAGCGGTTCTGATAGTAATCGAGGCTTAAGACATTTCCATTGTTTTTTTCTTCCGTGGATCGAGCATACAGGGCTACCTAGTACAATCACAATCTCTTAACAGATTTCCTCGTAATAGAACAACACGGTGATCACATTTGTCTAAAGACTTAGAAACCAGCGTATACGTTTACGGTTCCGTGCTTGTTTCTTATACCGATAAAATGGGTGATAATTAAAGTGTTCTAATTGCAACACAAGCGTGTGCCTGGAATTGAGTCTACAACCTATTCTATTTACAATTGGAGCACGTTCTCCTACAACTCTAATTTTCTAGAACTGTCTTCGCTTCTACATAAAGGTCACACTTTGATTCGAACAATAAACCACAGAAAGTATATAAATAAAAGTTAATTTATATTTAAAATTACTTCCTTCATTTGTTTTTAACCGACTTAAAAAAGAGGTTTCCAATTTGTCTGTATTTTTATCTCCTGTTTTCTACTTTCATTAGTCATTGGAGTCAAAATATGTATTTTTGAATTATTTGTAAGTGTGCTATCTATACACAACAAAAACATTTATTACAAAATTAGTACAATTCAAAAATCTGCCGTCCACTAACTAAAAGGCGGCTAAGTGACAAATGGTCAAATATCCGTTTTAAATAGAAAAAGAAAGAGCACAAAATTATCTTTTAAAAACATTTAAAATTAGTTAACGTGTTCGACTCATCGGAACTTACCCCAACGATGCAAAGCTGAAATATCATTATACAATTTCAATGTTCTAAAACTGGTTTAGGGTTTTTTATATCTCATATAATTATTTTGTCACTTAGCCGAGTTTTAGATAGCGGATGGCAGAAATATACATAATTATATTTAAGAACTTGAAGGCAAAGACTGAAATGAAATAAATATCTACGATGAAGTTCTTTGCTATATTATTATTGAACATTACGTAATTCACATAGCGTTCAAATTTGCAATTTGAAAAGTTAGATTCGCATAGTTCTTTCTTTTAGTCACAGTTGTAAAAGAATTCGCCCAGGGAAGTACTGTCATCTTACCTATTTCTGCCGCCAAGCAGTAATAATAAATAATTAAATAGTATAATGATATTGAGGAACGCAATGTTCGTAATATGAGCGTTCCGAAACGTACAATATAATAATAATAGCTCTGTAGACCATTTTTGTTAAAAATCACATAAAAAAATCACATGGATGAAGAATATCATTACCGCTATTTAATTATTTATTATTACTGTATATTAAGTGTATATTCAGTATATAGGCTAATTCAGTAAATGACAGTAAAATATATGTTTGCAAATTAGGTTGATTGCTTGGAATCGATTTGAATATCAAAAGCCTTATTAGTCAATCGAATATGAGTAATGAGATATCGGTTACAAAGGTGTTGCCAATCGCAAATCTTTAGCTAGCGTATGGTTACAGCATAATCAGTACGACAACAACATGGAAATATGAGTATCGTTTGAAGAACTGATTAGCAAAGCAATCCAAATTCTAAGCCCGTGTCGATCTATGGCGAATATTTGTTCATAAAGTGGCATGATTTATATTACTATACCTGTATAGTATATTAATAGCCTGCTATTTAAAAACAAGTTAAGTAGGAAATGACAAAAAAATTATAAAAGCATTTTTTGCTGCTGCAACGGGAAGTATTTGGGCAGGTAAAAAATATAGAAATCATTATATTTCTATGATTAGTCCACATGATTGAAGTGGCTAGGCAAACCTTACAGCGCTTTGTCCTATTCCGTACGGTAATAACGACACTGACATAAATTTTCTTTTTACAAAAATATAGATGCGCATTTGACCTCCATCTCACCTGATGGAAAGTCAACGATGGAGCATGCACACCTAAATAATGCCTTTTCACTCTCACCTTGAAAAGGCCTAATTTTTTTTATGACACTAAGTGATGGGACGAACAATTAAATCGCAAAGATCTGAGGTGCACTGCCTCTGCGCCCATCACCCTGAGACATAAGTTGAAAAGTCCCATGTGCCTATAATTTCACCAGCACCCTTACCCTTCAAACCCGTAATGCTCACATTACTGCTTGGCGGCAGAAATAGGTAAGGTGACAGTACATCCCTGGATGAACTCTTTCACAATAAGCTCTAGTACTACTAAAAGTTATACCGTTCAGGAAACCATTCTGCAGGTAGGGAATTCCACTCCAAAGCCGTTTTCCACATAAACGTAGAAGCAAAAGACTTCGAACGAATCCTTATAATATCCACAACATAAGGGTGGAACTCCAGAATACGTCTGATTGCTCCAATGATGAAAGGGTTGAAAGGGTTGTAACCCTAACAAGCCGTGACCAGGTTCACGATAGTAAAACAGAAAACTTCCGGTCCACAAATTTATTTTAAGTCGGGTTAAGAAGATATGGTAACAAAGAAGTAAGGAGTAAGGCTGTAGACTGTTATACACTTATTAAGATTGATACATGATTTAGATTATATTATAATGATTATAACTTGGTGAAAGAATCAAAATTAGACGTGATTAAATTTAAATAGCTCCGTACGCTGTCGCGATCGAGCAGGGAGTGACGATGGAACGAGACAAATTCAGAATGTGAGGCAAAAGAATGGAACAATTCAAAATTTAAATTTAAATACGAGTGGCCAGGAACCGGAGAAAGGCGATAAAATGGTGGGATGACGATGCAAGGAGGTCACACCGTCACAAGGTAATAGTGTAATAGTAGTGTAACTCACTTGCGCACTTTCCGTGATATATCCTGTAGAATACCGATAAGCAAGCAACTTTAAGGCGGCGTTCAAGGCTGCACAGCTTCACCTCTACTAACTCCGAGTAATCTAGCCTCTTGACATGCTTTTCAACTGAATCTACAAATTGAAAATTGAAGCAACAAATTGAATCGCTAATAATTTTTTTTTGTTCGTAGGTATCCTGGATCCGGAAACGCGATCTCCACATTTTGACAGTCGGAGTTCACACATACAGCAGCGATGCAAGATTTGCGGCGCTACACGCCGACGGGTCAGACGAGTGGACGCTGAGGGTCGCACCTGCTCAGCCGAGGGACTCCGGGGTCTATGAGTGCCAAGTCTCTACCGAGCCTAAGATTAGCATGTCTTTTAGGCTCACTGTTGTAGGTGAGTGTATAATAATTATGTTTCATCATAATTCATAGTTTGTATTAGTTTGTTATTTTATCAACATTATTTCAATTTTGTAGTTATTAGTAAGAAACTTAAGTGCATTATTTTTCTTTATTTTTTTATGATAGTGATTGGACGAACAAGTCGTGTGCCTGGTGTTTAGCGAAAAGTCTGTCCATAGCAGCAACTTTAAATCGCAAAGATCTGAAGGACACAGCCGCTACACCTGTCACCCAGAGACATAAATACACAAGTCTCGTGTGCCTGTAATTTCACTAGCACCCTTAGCCTTCAAATACGTAGTAATGCTCACATTGCCGTTTGGCGGTAGAAATAGGTGAAGTGGCCGTGCTTCCTTGGAGAAATTCTATTGCTACTAAAATTTTTATATATAACAAATGTTAGGCAGAGAAAATCTTTATTACAAATGTTAGGCAGATACTATGTATAGCAGATACTCGACCTTTAGTATGAGTATATACTTCTTGTTGTTTGATTATTCAAAGTAAACATTAAAACCCCAACTGTACTCACGGGAATTGTATAAGCAGAAGAGATTGTGATCTCTTCTGTTCCATGCACATGTGTGTGCATGGAAGTGTGCATCTTCCTTACGTTATTGGGAATTTAAACAATGAAAACAGAAACGTCAATAATAGCAACCCCAATGAAAATCAGCGCTAGGCAAGGGCTGGCCAAAGTACTGCTAGATCTTGACGAGTGTTACTGAGAAAACTTCAAAGTAAAAGCAGAAGAATGATGATTATTCAAATAATTTTGATACCGACTGTACTTCTAAACATAAACTTTGCATTCTGAATGTTATATCTTGGACATGCAAAATTTTATCAAAAATGTTAATTGCGCATTAATTTTTGCAGTCAGACTTACGATGGAGATATTAGATTTGTCTAATTATTATCAAGTAGTGTATAAGGATACAAAAGGTTACAAACATTAAAAACTAAAGTACTAGAACTAGCGCAACTTTAAATTTATCAAATGAGATCCCCACGACACGTCACTTGAAATACTGGCAACTTTCCCTTTTTGCGTAGCCGCTTATACGTTGCGCAAGATAAGTGCCAGTCCTTGAGTCTTCTAGTGGGTTCTTAAATTTTTTAGTTATAATTTTTAGAGAGAAACGCATCTGGGACCTCACATACTCACGGGTTGAATTTGGAAAGATGTACATAGGTAGTTGGAGTTCAGGTTCTGACAGTTGTGGATTTTAATCTTTGCGCTAACTCATCTGCGTAGCCAGCCCTTTTTGTTAGTGTTAGGTTGTAGGACGGGAGCAAGTAATGGACCGTGTGCCATCCTACACTATTGCCTGGTCTGTACTACATTGAATAAGGCTGCTAATAGATTAACTGCGTGTTTGCAGTTAATGCGTGAAGTCGTAATCAACTTCTCTCGATTGAACCAGTAGGTATGCACATTTGATAACGACTTCACTTCACTTCGCACATTTAACTGCATGCAGTCGATTTTATGAAGTCGGTTTCCACTTCTCGAAGTCTCGGCTGCATGAAGTTGATTACGACGTATTATCTCTGCAGTCAATCTATTAGTAGCCTTAGAAGCACGCCGTCTGGGCATTGGCTGTCCGATATACTACTGGGCAAGAGTATAGCGTACTTAGAGTTGGTGTACTTTACTTTAGTAGTAATAGAGCTCATTGTGAAAGAGTTCGCCAGGAAAGTACTGCCACCTTCCCTATTGCTGCCGCCAAGCAGTAATGGCAGCATTACTATGTTTCGGTTTTGAAGGGTAAGGATGCTGGTGAAATTACAGGCACATGGGACTTGTCAACTTATGTTTCAGGGTGACGAGCGCAGTGGCAGTGCTCCTCGGATCTTTGCGATTTAAGGCTCTGAGTGGCACTGCAACTGTTATGGACAGGCGTGTAGCTTACCATCAGTTGCACTACTTGTTCGTCCCATCACTTGATATCAACAGACAAAAAAATTGAGGTTTTAAAAGCTCAGTTTTTCTTTATTAGATTAGACTTTAAAATCTAATTTAATAGTATGTCACAGGGGGTTCCATACCGTGTGATGCAACCAGCGCACAATTGCCAAGAAAGACTGATTATCTACTTCCTTTTATTGGATGAAAAATTCTCCTACGAAAAGATTTTCTTACAAACCAATGGTGATTTATGTTTATTTTGACGTACTTTTGAATGTAATATTTTATATTTATTTTTATATTTTTTTTATCAGTATTCTGTTGTAAGTAAATTATAAATTATCTTTTTCTATTCTATTCTACACATTTAATAATTTACTTTAACCCTCATATCCACAAGGAAATTGCAAATTTAAACTTATGGTTCTCATTATAATCCTCACTACCTCTTATGTCGACTAACTAAAGGCATGAAACATAAGCAATTTGGTTAAATAGTTCGTGCGGTTCCTACGAACATATTTACATGGACCCGTAATCCCTTCAACAATTTCCGGTTATCTATTAAAACGAATTCTTTACTCGTATATACGAAGCTCGCACCATGTAAGGTTATTATTAGGTATACAACGATGTTGAGGTTTTTATACTAAGTCTCTTTTTGATAATATATTTTCATGTAGAATTACATTTTATTATGTTTTATAATAATATGTATTTTGTTTTAGGCAAAAACTCGTACATTTTCATGGCAAATCAAAAAATCCTTGCTAGTATTGGAGATGACTTTGTGTTTGTTGGGGGTGTACAAGCTATTTTATTATGATCAGTTTGACTTCTGTGAGCTGTTTATACGACAAGGGTGCATTTACTGGTGTCCACTACTTTATAATTATTGGTTCCTGTTGTTGTGAACTGAAAACCGAAATTAAACATAAAACTAATTTGTAATGTTCTCGCACATTTATTTATAACTTTATTGTTACATAAATAAATTTTGGACGAACTGGCCTCACTTGAAAATGGGATTATTAAAGATATTAATAAAAATACTCATCACAATTAATTCTCAAAATTCAGTGTATAACGAAATTTGCATATTTCATTTTCATTTGCAAAGTTATAAATTACTTTGTTTACGCAAAACAAGTAAAATGTTTGTTCCCATTAATTAGCCTCATTGTTAATTACTGCATACTAAAATATTCTTATAACGAAACAATTTACGCTGTGGCAAATGTGAAACATTTACAACGAAATGATAGAAGAAGATAAATGGAGCACCCAATTCAAAACCTATATACGTTTACAAAAACTTATATAGTTATTTAACCTTGACAACAATATAAAAGACAATTACATATATGTAGTGTTAATAAGTAACTTTGTCAATACAAAACATCAGATTTAGGGAACGAAATTACCACACCGTCACGTGCTACGAAAACTGCTACGAAGCCTACGTGCTACGAGATCGTCGCGTAGCGGTTGGTGATTCTTTCTCCGATAATAAAATCAAGGAAGAGGAAATAAATGGTTGGGTTTCGCCATGTTAAGGTGCCGACATACTGGCCGTTGCTATGCGGAAGAGACTAATACATAGTTCCACCCTTAATTATCGAATGCTTCATCTTACGTTAAAAATATGTGCCAAGATTTGTATTTCCCGAACGGTTCAACTGTAATATTTTCAAAGTCAGAGTAAATCAATATCGTCGAAAACTTAATTTTCTATCAGATGATATTGTGGACACTCACATAAATGTGGTGATACCCTTAATTAATAGTGTCCGTACTGAACTTAAAATAGCACAAGGCTCTACATCTTTCAAAAAATCTTTGAAACATTTCTTGTTGGAAAAATCATTTTACTATGTTGATTTGAATTTCTTGATGGAGGCAGTTGATAATAATTTGTATTTAAAAGTGATAAGGAAATCTATCTAATTTGACGTTGTATTTATTTATTATTATTATTGTATTAATATTGTTTTCATTAAAGACTTGTTAATATTGTGTATTACATTTGGTCTCTTGTGTGTATTTGATTGAAGTTTTTTAATTATATTTTGTTTCCAACACAAACACTAACAATGATCATCCAAAATCATCTTCATATGGAATTAATTAATTAGAAATAAAAGTCTTTCCGAGAGTAAGTAAATGCCTTATTAATGTTTAGTTAAATTTTATGCAAAAAGTCAGTGCTCTAATATGCTAAACATAAAACGCTGAGCACACATAAATTGTTTAAATTTCCCACACCGCCCTCACCAGTGGGAAGGCAGCCTAATGTCCCTGAGTGAAATATAAAATCGCAATGTCAGCTTAGTTGGAACAAAGCCAGCTCCGCATGCGTAAAGCTCTAGGTTTATTTCTTACCATCATATAAATTGTAGTTCCAAATTTCAGGGATCATTATATCTCGTGAAACATACTGCGAAACGGGATTTAGTCCTTTTGACATACCGGCCATGTGAAAATTGTTATAACTAAACGAAAACAAGGATGTACTTTTAGTACTTAAAGTGATACGAATATATAATGGATAGGACGGGTAATGCTATCAAAACAAGGTACATATTTTCAAAATGTGCACCCATTACCGTGGTGACAATGTTGCGGTTTGTAAAGGGTTGATTAATAAGAATGGTTGAATCGTGAAAGCGATAGATAATTCGGAAGTTTATAATTACAAAGCATTTATCTCTGTAATTTTGTCGTCTGTCCATTGAAGCAGTTAATTATTGGATTAGTTATTTATAGAATTTAATTTAGTTATTTATTATTCCAGTTGTTTCGGGAAGGTCTAACAGTCTGTTACTAACTCTGTGAATAATCAAGTAACGTAATATTAGATAGACAGTGTAACAATTGTGGTAGTAGTCTAGTATATTATTATAGACATTATTCAGTTAAACAAAAAAATGTACACGGTAAATGTTCGATATGATGTTTTTATTTACATTACCAATAGAATTAATGATACATATAACAGTATATTATAAACATCGAGTATATAACCAGAAATTGAGACGAAATGTCATTCAATTTGTTTGAAAAGTATTCTGTCAAAATCA